GTTTAGGGCTTTAGGTTTTTAGGGTTCAGGGTTTAAAGGTTTAGGGTTTCAGGGTTTAGGGTTGAGGGTTTTAGGGTTTTGGGTTTAGGGTTGAGGGCTCGAGAGTTTAGGGTTTTAGCAGCTTAACCGACCTGCTTGCGGATCTTCTTCATGTCATCTTTCCTTGGGTGGATGCCCGCATTCACTTTCATAAAGACTTTTTGGGGCGCCAAACCTCTCGTGCACGGTACGGCATCCTAACCCCCATGAACCCTAAAGTTAAACAAGCGTCAGAGCCGTGACATGCAGCTTCTCAGTCTCGACCTCTTGTCTCAACTCCTTAACCATTCGGTCCAAGATTCAAGCGACATACTGTTGATGGACAAAAGTCTGCATGACCCAAATATAGTATAGTACCATAAATCCCATAGTTTAGGTATATAAGGTCATGCAGGATTTTGTCCATCAACCACATCACAAGGCCTGTCTAGGAAAGCTGCGAGCGTGGCTCTCTCGACCAGTTCAAGGCTCTCAAGCCAACGATTTCACATAGCGATGAATCGGATGAAAAGGCCGGTGAGCCAGTTGGAGTTAAGAGCTCCGAATGGACACAACGAGTAACTCAGTCGCAAGGGGAGTCGGTGCCTGCTGGCTTTCGAGCCCCTGTCCTTGCTGAAGTGATGAGTGAAAAGAAATGCACATCGGTCACATGCTACGTAGGACTAAGGAAGTAGTGAAATGTCTCGACGTTTCGTTTGCGTCGAATCTACAGCAGGCACCATCGAGTGGTCCTCTTGATGCAAGGCATCGTGGTCAGATTTTGGATGTGCGTGTGCCTCCCCAGGTCATTACACTGCCATGCTCGCCGTATACAACATCTCATGAGAAGGACTTTTGATTGACGAGGTGACTTCTCCACCACGCGTGTGTGCGAAACCCTAAACCGCAATCATCTTCGCGAGCTCTCCATGCTCAAATAGGCCCCTGGCTTCCCTCATCTTCTCCCAGTTGATCTCCCTGGCCTTGTGCTGAACCTTCTGAGAGCTCCAACACAACTGCAAAACTCCCGGTATCTACGCACCTCCGCATCTTCCGCAAAGCGCTGAGGTGAGAGCCTGTAGTCCAACCTTCAGCTGGCCTGCCCCCAGACGGCCCAATACCCCAAAATTCAAGCAAGCCCGCCCAACCCCCTCTCCTATACCATAATTTCAGGCCTATCCCCAAACTGATCATATGCCTATTCCAAAATGAAGGCGTATGCAAACAAGGTACCCTACATCATAGCATTCAGCCTCCCATAAATGGCTATGGGGCGGAACTCGAACCGAGCCGTTCCAGCTGGGTCTCTGCAAGGTCTTGTTCGGTTTGGGGCGGCAGGAGTTAAAGGAAACTGCAAGTGGGGAGTTTAGGGTACATAGGGCTTCTATAAGGCTTCCATAAAGTATATAAACCTTCTATAAGGCTCCTATGACAGTAACTACCTTAACACACCAGAACCTACTTTTTTGTAGGGTCCCTATAAATCCCATATTAGGGTCTACAATAAGAACCTACAAAAACGTGTGTTTCGGTAGGTTAAGGTACCCACCTGGAAATGTCCTAGAAAGGAGGGGAGAGCTTGTGCTGAAAGGGGATGATCCCCAAACCTAGGTTTTACGGCCGTGACGCTGGAATTGAGAGGTTCATAAGCCTACTATTTTCGTAGGGTTTGGGATGATTTTTGTGCCCTAAAAACCCTAAAACCCAAACCCACTAAACCCTAAACCCAGACCCACTAAACCCTGAACCCTAAACCCCAAACCCTAAACCCCAAACCCTCAACCCTAAAAGCCCTAAACCCCTAAACCCCAAACCCTAAACCCCAAAGCCGCAACCCTAAACCCCAAACCCGCAACCCTAAGCCCCAAACCTCAACTCTAAACCCCAAACCCTCAACCCCACACCTGCCGGAGGGCTGCTTTTGGCCACCGGCTTTTCCATTTCCACTTCACGGAGCTTCTCTTCCAACTCTCGCTTCGCTTTCTCCGCACGAGACACCTACGGGTTCCGATGCCCTACCCATAGGCCCCCATAGTAGTTCCTTTTTGGGGTTACCTTATAGGATTCTATATAAGAACCCCAAAAAGGAACTACTTTAGGGCCTATATGGGTAAGGCTCTAAGGACTCATACTTTGAGGCTTTTTGGGCCAAACAACCACACTTGAGAAGGCTTTTGGGGCTATTTTGAGCCTTAAGGATAGGGTTCCTTTAGGGGCTCCGTCTCAGGGCTCTTTCTTAAGGGATATTTGGGGTTCGCGTGAGGCTTCCGCTTCTTCAGGGAATAGGCTTTAGGGGTTTAGGGCTCCTTGAATAACTCCACCCTAAACCCTAATCCCTAAACCCTAAACCCTAAACCCTAAACACCCTAAACCCTAATCCCTAAACCCTAAACCCTGCCATAAGGGTTCCTGTAAGGGTTTCCCTGCAGGGATCCTTTTTGAGGTCAGCTTCCCAGCAGCGGCGATTCTTCGAAGCTTGAAACGATAACAATACATTGCTGCCTTGCACTCTTCCCTGGTCCCTTCTTTAGCCGAAGCCTTATCTCCCCCTAAACCTTAAACCCCCAAACCCGAAGCCCTAAGCCCTAAACCCTAAACCTTAAACCCCTCTGCCAATGTTCCTAATTCCGTCTGTCAAATCATCAACCCTGAGGCCCCAGCTTGCTCTTTGAGCTCCGCATTCTCCCGCATGAACTCCTCCAGGTCTTCGTCAAATTGGGCCGCCATGGCTTTCTTCCTGCGAAAGCAGAACTGAAGCCAGAGGTGCTTCTGAACCCACATTGGTTTAGTTTAGGGTTTAGGGTTTAGGGTTTAGGGTTTTTTGGTTTAGGGTTTAGGGTTTAGGGTTTAGTTTAGGGTTTAGGGTTTAGGGGACTCCCAAACCCCTTAATTAAGGAATATACCTTAAATCATGTTAGGGATCCTACTATAATTTAAAGTATGTTCCTTAATTAAGGGGTTTTGGAGAGACTCTCTGAGTGACTCCGAAACCACATTGGTTTAGGGCTTACGTGGACCCGAAAAACACCTACCTGCTTTAGGACTTATGTAATAGGGTACCCTCCCTAAACCCTAAACCCTAAACCCTAAATCCTGAACCCAAAACCCTAAACCCTGGAAAGGAGGTTCTTGAGGGTCCAGGGTTTAGGGCCGTTTAGGGTAGCGGCCGAAGCTCCTCAAGCCTCCTGGCAGACCACCTTCGCTGCTGGTGGCGCTGGCGCGCTTTCGCAGGCTTCGCCGGTCGTCGACCCATCCTTAGAAACGAGAACTACTGTTGCTGATATAAATCCTGCATTACTTGAAGGACCCTAAACTATGGGAATTATGGTATATTCCGTATTCTGAGTAATGCAGGATTTATATCATCAACCGTATCAGCTCACGGCTGGGGTAGACCATGATTTGGCAGCGGATGCATCCAAGTTGGGATGGACTACGCACACATGCGCATGAGACCATGTACTTCCGGCATCCACCGGCGCGGCAGCTCAACCGACACAGAATGTTTGCCTTGCCATGCGCTCATGTCAATTCCCTTGATTCCTTGATGGTGTGTGCCGTCACGTTTCCACCCATAGGCCCCATAGTAGTTCCTTTTTGGGATTACCTTATCGGATTCTAAATATGAACCACAAGAAGGAACTACCATGGGGCCTATGGGCAGACAAGAACAGAACATGCATCCTAGAAGCTCCAATCGCTGGCGCTTCCGGCACTGGAGGGCGAGAAAGTCTTGATTTCCTGGAGCTCGCGCTCCAGCTCTGCGTTTCGCCGCTTCAGATCATTTGCCCTCGGACTGGGGTTTAGGATTTTGGGACCTATAATACGGTTTAGTCGTTAGGGATTAGGGCCGAGGGACTTCGACACATGACAGAATGTCCTGCGTAAATTCGGACAAGCTGCGAATTGCTGCTAGAATGTTTATGTTGTGCTGAGTTGCGCATTTGGTCGACCGGCGCAATGATTCAGCCCCAACTGACTGCAGAAAAGGATCTGTCTGCACTCCTCTACACCCAAATACGCAGACTCGTGTAGCTCCTCCTTAAACATGTGCGGGTTGCGACCATGCTGTCACGACTCACTGTGCTGCATGAACTTAGCACTTTCCGACATCAAACGCCGGACAAGCTTCCTTTAACTGCGCAATCGTCTCTTCAAGCTGCATGTCTCAAGGCACATTTGCGCCGAACAACAGCAGTGTACCTTGAGCAATCAGAAGCACAAAGGACGGACTCAGAGGAACGTCGTGACATCGACTCGAAGAATGCTGACACAAATGTGGCGCTGGCCATCCATTTCGACATCCAATCCGACGGCATGCCACGGCCGCTACATCTATGCACAGATTTGCTACCCGCGTTGTCTCTAGTCACGGTTGTACGTTGACCCGATTACATCAAGCAGTGCAAAAGCATACATATCTTGGCCAATGCCTGAAGTTCTGACTGTTTTCAAATCTCTTGGCTCTGTACTATTTAATGCTGGTCAAAACCTGCCGGTATTAGCCGAAACTCTGCGGTTGCTCTGCTTCACAAAAGACACAAAGGCGAAACAATACCACGAAAGCTGAGTTGAGGATGCCAACATCTGCAAAAAAGAACGTCTTCATAAGTGTGTCGGAAAACATTCCGGCAACGAATGTACATCTGAGAGTCGTCCTAATCCAAGCTGGGTGTGACTAATAGAGGGTTGCTATAACGGTTCTATGAATACATCGGGCACCACGACATGGGTAGCTCTCTAAATTAGGGTCCCTTTTGGGGTCCTAACACAGTAAGATTCCGTGTTATGTTGGGGACCGAAAAACGAAAAAGAGGGACCCCACTTTAGAGAACTACCCACGTGCATCATTTGTGAGGAGCCAAAACTAGCCAATTCCAGTGCTCTCAGGCAGCTTTTTGCTTTGTCACTCTGCCGAGGTCCGGTCCCTCAAACAACAACTTCAGTTGGCGTTGGTGGTCCGGAGGGGGGTGCCTGAACAACTTGCGAGTTTGCCTTGTAATGCAGATAACTGAGCATTCACCAATAACCTCCTGCAGTGTGGCTGTCACATCGGTAAAGCCAGTGCCAGGGACCGGGCGCCATAGATGGAATGACGAGGTTCAGCAGGGAAATCCTCTGGATTTGGCTGCACCTGCGCATGGCGGGACAACCAAATTCACGAATCTGGACCAAAGCCCGTCCTGTTCAATTCTCGTTTAAGCTCCATATATATATATATATATATGTATGTATATATATATATATGACAACACCGACGGTCTAACATCCGACAGTCTGCAAACAGGCGCGTCGAGAATCGCGGGCTTCCAGACTCACTCTTACGGGCTGCTCCCATGCGTCTGCAGCTCATGTGCGCAGTCGGTATATAAACCCTAACCCTAAGGCTCCATGTACCTTTATAGTAGGTACTTAGGCCTTAAAGGGGTCCCTATATAGGTACTTTAAGGCCTAAGTATCTACTATATGGGTACATGGAGCCTTAGGGTAAACTCTAGAACCCTCAACCCCTAACCGCCCTAACCGCCCTAACCTTAAAACCCTAAACAGTAACCCCGCTTTAAACGGCAAACCCTCATAGACCCCTGTCAGGAACCCTTAAAGCCCTAGAGCCCTAATCCTGAGTTCTAAAACCCTACAAGCCCCCAAAAAGACCCTAAACCCTTATAGGTCTCCTCAAAAGGAGCCCTGAAAGCAAGCCTCAGAACCTATAGCCTAAAAACACTATGGAACCATTATAGGTGGCTTCCATGGAGCCCTTGAAGGGGTTTAGGGTTTAGGGTTTTAGGGTACCCTCAAAACCTACTAGTATCATTATCATTAGTATTGTTACTATTACTCTCTTCGTGATAATTATTTGTATTTTCAATATGGTTGATTGTTACTTTTGTTGTAACTCTCAGTAGTATTATGATTCCTCTTCGTGTATTTTTCTTATGATTATTGTACTTATTAGTATGGCCTAAATAACTACCAATACTGGTTTGGGGGCTCCTTCTTGTAATCATAGCATAATGGGCCCCAAAACCCTGTTCTACGTTTTAAAGCTAAACCCTAAACCCTAAACCCTAAAGCAATAAACCCGAACCCCTAAACCCTAAACCCTAAATCCTAAACCCTAAATCCTAAACCCTAAACCCTAAACCCTAGACCCTAAGCCCTAAACCCTAAACCTCAGGCCGAAGAACTGAGAGCCCGAAGCCGATCCGCTGTCGCTTCCTCGGCTGTTGCTGCGCTCGGGTTCGGGAACTTCGTCTTAAGGCTTCATAGGGTTTAGGTTGTTAGGGTTTAGGTTTTTAGGGTTTCGGGTTTTAGGGTTTGAGGGTTTAGGGTTTTTTTAGGGTTTTTAAAGGTTCCTTCAAGGAATCTATGGGGGTTTAGGGAACGCAGTGTTGTAAGGAATCTAAGGGGTTTAGGGAACGCAGCTTTCTAACGGTTACGGGTTACCATCATAAAGAAACCCGATCATTTACGATAGATCCCTGTTACTGGTTCCCTGTTGGGGCGATTTTAAACATGAACATTTTAAAGGGTTTATTCTGCCAAACATGTAAAGTTGTAGCCAACAAGGGCCCAGATTATGGTAACTTACAGTAAGCTAAGCTCCGGAACCCTCACCCCTAAACCCCTAAACCCCTAAACCCCTAAACATAAATGCTCATCCCCAAAACCCTAAACCCTAAACTTAAACCCTAAACATAAACCCTAAACCCAAAACCCTAAACCCTCAACCCTAAACCCTAAACATAAATGCTCATCTTTTTCAGCTCGCGGTTGTGGCAGGAGATTTCTGGCTAATTCCGACCATGTCTCGGCTCATGTTTGCGAGGCACGGCTTGAGGCCCCTACGTTACAGAAGCCTCGTTTCGATTCGTTTAAGGTTTAGGGTTTAGGGTTTAGGGTTTGGGGTTTAGGGTTTATAGGGTTTAGGGTTTAGGGTTTAGGGTTTTTAGGGTGTAGGGTTTGGGGTTTAGGGTTTGGGGTTTAGAACCGGGCCCTGGCTTCGATTCCTTATAGAAGCCTTCAGATGATCCCCATTGCAATGGAAACGCCCCCTTTACATGAGCTCGTGCATGTCAGTGCCATTCGCGAACCAGCGGCCAGTCATAGGCGGTGTAATACTTCCGGAGAGCAGGCTCACCAAGGATGAATGCCTGGTGTCAGGAGTGAGGTGCCCATAGTGACTTCAAAGTACGTAGTCCCGAGGCCCCCGTCTCGAAGCATCCATCAGAACGCAGAGCAATCTGAACCGCCGCAACTACCCATAGGCCCTAAAGTAGTTCCTTCTTGGGGTTCACATATAGAATCCTATAAGGTAACCCCAAAAAGGAACTACTATGGGGTCTATGGGTACAGTAGCCTCTTGTCCTTCTATCCCGCGAGTGTCGCCCTCGTGCCTTGGGCCCGAGCACCTCCCCGTCGTCCACGGGAAGAAGAGAAGCGCGGCAAATGAGCTGACAGGAAGATTCGGTCAATGAAAAGGCTCTAAAGTAGGGTTTCGGGTTTAGGGTTTAGGGTAAAGGGGTGGCTGCCATACCATGCAAGTAGCAAGTTTCAGTCATGACGGTTGGGCCAGTGCCGGCCCTGGATAATTATTCCATCTGTTTTGAAGTGCAGCTATGGAGTCTGACACTGCACTGCTCAAGACGGTGATCAAAAAGAGGTTGTGACAAGCTCGCTGGGACATCACGACCTGCACCGTATTTATCCAGGCCTGTCGTCGTCGTCCCTGTGACAGTTCAGATACCGAAGACAAATTACCCACACAAGACAACATTATCAATCAACCAACCCTGCATGTGCCTGCGAAGAGTTCGTCTTGTTGTTCAGAACTCGCATGCCAGTCGCTCGAGAATAGTCCTTGCGTGCACACTACTTCTTCGCCGGAGCACAGGGTTCTGCTGCAGGTCTGCGACATCCAGTGGAGTGCATGTATCCTCTGCACCGATGGTGACATTCACGCCGTCTTCCAGTTGGAAAATGAGCTCCTGGAACGATAGGAATCATGATCTGATTTCCTAGATTACCAGCTTTGTAATGTAGGGGCCTTAATAACCAGACTAGGGTGTTGGGGGGGGCTCCTTATCTTTATTTTTATAGTATAATATACCCCAAACCCTGTTCTAATTATCAAGGCCCCCGATATTACTCATGTGTCCGGGAGTATCATGGAGATCGATTGCAGATGATACGACAGGCAGCCGTTCACCTGGCTCCTCAAACGCCTGGATGAAAAACCGAATCCCATACAGGGGCCTTAGCAATTAGAATAGGGTGTTTTCATGCGTATTCTCGTATATTTATTGTAATGAGGAACACTATTTATAAGGGGTACAATTGGTTTTCATTGATGCCACCTATACTATGCTATGTATGCATTGACGCCTTCGAGGAAGGCATCGCAATGTAACAAAAGCAGTGCTCCCAGTGTCTATCCAGAACACAGATCCCCTTCCGAAGGCCAAGCAAACTAATCCTAGCAATAAGACCACGTGTAAGCATGCTGAGTCCAAAAAAAGATCGAATATGAGTGAAACCCCTAAACCCTTGAACCCTAAACCGTCTTAGCCTTAGTTCAGCAGCTGCCACCCATGCGGTCCGGACCAGGAAAAGTGCGGCAATCGATCTCCGCTGGGTTCTCCGGCACCTGCAATGGAAGCTTTGGGTTTGTAACTAACAGACCTTAACCTTCCAAAACCTGCTTTTTTGTAGGGTCCCTATAAATTCCACATTAGGGTTTAAAAATAAGAACCTACAAAAACGTCGGTTTTGGTAGGCTAAGGTATGTAGTAGTACGAAGTACTATAGCTATTTGGAGCTATTCTTAGTGGAGTGAAGATATGATCATGATTATAACAGGCTTCAGATCGAAAGCTACTTGTTGTTGGAGCGATGATTATTATCATTATTTTCGCAGGCTTCAGATACTGTAGTAAGCAGCGTGGAAGCTTAAACCCTAAACTTTACAAACACCTAAGCCCTAAACTCTTCAATGGGGCGGGTCTGGCGGCCCCGCGCCTTTCGTGCCAGGAGCCAATGCCTCGGACTTTCCGACTTTACGGCTCCCGTCCCAAGAGCCAATACCCTTTGTTTAGGGTTTAGGGTTTAGGGGTTTAGGGTTTAGGGTTTAGGCTTTATGGTTTAGGGTTTAGGGGTTTAGGGATTAGGGTTTAGGGGTTTAGGGTTTAGGGAATACCCCTTGGAAAAGGAACATACAGATCTTCAAGTACCTGGCATTTCTAGGATTGTAGGGGGCTGAATCAGGAACATAGTACCTGACATTTGTAGGATTGTAAGGGGCTTCATATCATGATGTAAGGTTTGGGCTCTCTCCGTGCTAGCCACTCAAGCGGTGAACGAAGCAAACGATTCGAGTTTCATCGGCGCGGCGTGCGCGGTAAGGGAGCTCCTGTAGGCCGAGGGCCTAAGGTTTTTGGGTTTAAGGTGATTGTTGTTTGTGACTGTTCCACCGTGCTCTCAGCCTTACAGCTTGGAATCAGCTTACCGACGGCATCAGCCTTCGATCAAACAAAAGCAACATGGAGCAATGCCAAGCACCCTAAACCCTAAACCCTTCCTCACCTCCGGGGGCTCCTTATCATAAATATCCCCTTATATACCTGTCAATCCTAGTCTTGGGCAATAAGCCCCTGTGCTAAACTAAGCCGTGGTATAGTGCCCTAAAGGAACCCTTAAAAGCATTCTTCTTAAATAACCCTTTCAAAAAGAACCCTTATAGAAGCGATAGGACTTCGAAAGGAACACCCCTGTGAAGGAACACTGTTTCAATAACCGGGCTGCATTCTCTGCGTGACAGCTCGAGGCGCGCCGAGCAAGGAAGTGCCGGTATCAGCGATCGCGATCTGAGCCCAAGCGGAAGCAATACACATATACATATATACACATGCGTATATAGACAAACACCGGACATGTTATTTAACGACGACGACGACAAAGACGACGACGACGACGACGACGACTACTACTACTACTACTACGACTGTTACTACTATTACTGCTGCTGCTGCTGCTACTACTACTACTACTACTACTACTACTACTACTACTTCTACTACTCGTGCTACTACAGCTGCCACTACTACTGCTACTGCTACTGCTACTGCTACTGCTACTACTACTACTACTACTACTACGACGACGACGGTTACTACTATTACTGCTGCTGCTGCTGCTGCTGCTGCTGCTGCTGCTACTACTACTACTACTACTACTACTGGTACTGGTACTGGTAC